GTAATACGTCTTTCAACGCAAAAACAAAATCTCTACATGCAGGTAAAATACAATGAAAGTGTAGGCACAGATTGCGCATTCGTAGCACACAGCATACACAGAAACACTTTGTAGCATCTCGGGGTCGAGATACAAGACAAACTAACCCAAGCCAAATAAACTATTGACTTGGTTATTATAGCTAGGTAGTACAATCTAGTGATGGCTTGATTGTACTATATAGCTGATCTCGGGGTCGAGATACAAGACAAACTAACCCAAGCCAAATAAATTATTGACTTGGTTATTATAGCTAGGTAGTACAATCTAGTGATGGCTTGATTGTATTATATAGCTGCACTAATCATGTCCTTGATTGTATTATATAGCTGCACTAATCATGTCCTAAACGACATAGAGATAGAGTGTCAAAAAATTCGATACGAGATAAGCGACACGTCAAGAAAAGTAGACAACTAACTACTCAAGACCTTGAGGTCAACTAGATAACACACAATTCATGATCACAACACTTTGTATTGCATAGCGCCACATCACAGACAAGATACCAGGCAGGCCAAACAGTAACCGAGACTGTACTCTCCATATCTTTCTGCTCGTAACTCGGGAGAGTGTATCTAAGTCACTCACAAAATGTTGACACCGAGTTTATCTTCCATGTACTAAACACCAAGATATATACCCAGACATCCGAAGAAGGGTACAAGACAACCAATTCAGATATCCAACCCAAGTACAGAATTTACGTGATCGCTTCGGCCAGATAGCACATAATCCGCCGCGACTTTGTTCTCCATATCCTTTCAGCTCGTAGCTGAGGAGAATATACCCGATCCACTCAAACAAACACTATTGGCAACTAATTGCACCAAGTTTATATTCCATGCTCGAAACACTCAAAATATATACCCAGATATCCACAACGAGAACCCATACATGTTCAACCCAAACACACCACATACATGTTCAACCCAAACACACCACATACATGTTCTACCCAAACACACCACATACATGTTCAACCCAAACACACCACATACATGTTCCACCCAAACACACTACATACATGATCGCTCTGGCCAGCCAGCACGCGATCACTTGCGACGTGGTCCTCCGTATCCATACTGCTCATAGTCCCACTTGGTACTAGAGCACTGGCCCTATCTCCCGCGCCATTGCTAGAACCAGTGGCCGTGCTGGGACGTAGTGCGTGTATAGGTGTAGTAGAACTATCATCCATAGGATTGCAATTGGTAGCGGGACTAAGACTAGGCACAAGACTAGCCATACGGTAACCGTCCGGGTTATGGCCAGTCGGAACGGGCGAGAGCGTATTGGACTGCTGAGCTCGGGGGGTGTCCGGCAATGTATTGCCACCCAGACGGGATGAGCCTGTCAAGAGTTGGGTGGTATTGGAACGTGGGACGGGTTGAGCCGAAGTTTAGTACTATGATACATTCAGGAATAATAATTGAACACCAGGCAATGGAAGGGAACACATGACGGAACATATTTATAAAAGCACAACAATTGGCGCACGACCCCTGTGCCTGATACATATACTTAAGCTCACCTTGATATAGCTGCAGAGGAAAATAGAGTAGACATATCTATCGTATGCAATATGAAGTTATATAGCTAGATACTTACACCACAGCCATGTATACTGTTATGATTGCCTAAAAATGAGATTTTAGACGTTTGAGTGTTTGATCTATACCAACCGCCCGACTCGGTCAGAACTGCTACTGTCGCCATTATAGGCAAGGACACGACCAAT